CATTCCTTCTGCTGTGCTGGTGCCTGGTAGGAGACCCTCCCAATCATTGCCCATATTTTCGAATTTAGAATCAAAAAAAAAAAAATATCTTTCTGATCTTAAAGACCATATCGTTATATAACTTATATCGTTTTCCCTTAATCATAATTTGTTACAATGGCGGTAAGGCGAAGTATTGACAATATAAATGTTAATCTCGGCGAGGTAGTCGTACACTGCACTATATGAAATGATACTAGCCAGGACACCGACATTGTAGAAACCCATTGCAAACACAAATACCACAGGTCGTGTTTATCGGATTGGTTGACATCCAATGAGACATGCCCGATTTGTAGGCAGCTGTGTTCGTTACCGTTGCGTTCACAATCTCCATCGAATTTACAGAGTAGGGAAAATGCCGCGGAAAGGGTTAACCGATCGATTAATGCCGCGCTCAGAGCTTACGTTCGTACTGACCATCGTAAATGGGATGTGTTCCTTAGTAGCATAAACTGTTCGTTGAGAAAATCAATACACCAATCAGTTGGCATGGCACCATATTTCGTGGTCTTTGGTCAGCACATGATTTCACATGGCCAAGATTACAAAAAGTTGCGAGAAGTCGAATTACTCAACGAGGGCGAGGGAAAATTGTCAAGAGCTGACGAATTTCAGAAGATTCACTCAAACATCGAGAAACACCTGACAAAAGCTTACAAGAGAAATCAACGCACTTACGACCTGAGATCCAAGCCTCGTTCGTTTGAGGTAGGTCAAGAAGTAATAAAGAGAAATTTTTCTTTGAGTAGCGCGTCCAATAACGTTAACGCTAAACTAGCTCCACTTGGACTGAAGGCTCGCGTAAAGCAGAAATGTGGCCAACTAATTTATCTACTGGAAGACTTGAACGGTAAAGAGCTGGGGAAATTTCACATTAAGGATATTTGGTAGCTAGAGACAAAAGTCTGCACCCTTCCTTGTTGTTGTTTCAGTTTTATCTTTGGTCAAAACCCTAAGATAAAATCTGGCGGGGGGGTGTGAAGGTTGCAGACCAAAAACAAAAGGTGTTTTGGGGAACAGTCTTCTAATTTTATCAAGAAAATATTGAACCTCCCCCACTGTACGCATTCCAGCGAGAGCCCACATGCAAGATCAGAAGCTGTTATCTTGAAAAGCTCTCTCTTTCGAAATTGCATGTGCGAGCACCGTTCACATGTGAGCTTTTCTCTCTGCAAACATAGCTTACGGCTAGCCCTTCGAGAACCTTCTTAGCTCTCTCATACACAGCTTTTGGAGGGGTAAAATAGTTAGGCTAAGTGCATGCTGCACAGAACAAAAATTGCATTCAAGGTTTGAAGACTTAATTGATGTGCGTGTAGAAAATATACAAAAACAAAAAAAAACGTGGTGAAAAGTTTGCAAAACCATAAAAGGGAACATAACCCAAATAAAAAAACAATATAAAAGTGTTGTGGCTGCAAGACGAAACAAAAAAACCAACCCCTGGATAAGGTACGCCAAGAGAAAAAAAATGAAAAAGTGACCTTATTACATAATTCCATGTATGTACTGTACATAGGTTATGATCCACGTGTGGCAGGAAATTGCTGACCTGGCCTGACCCTCGGTCTCGGAGGGGGGGTCCGCTCCAGTACCACGATCATCCGTCCCTCTTTTTGGTGCCACCGGACCTTGCCTGCAGGCGAAAAAAACGGATGGACCTGGCGATCGGGACCGAGTTGTTTATATACATATATCTCACGCGCAACTATAAAACCATCTTTATATATTATATCACCGCGCCTTGTGTAAAGAATTGTTGGTGCTTGCATATGTAGGGTGTGGAAAAATTAGCTCAGCGGTCATTGCCCTTGCGGCTGACCATACACCTATGCGCACTTAAATAGACCCACCTGACCGTATGTCACCTATTCTCTCCTTCTCTCAGGTTATTAAAATTGTTCGATGCCGACATTCTAAAAGCCACTTAAGGGAAGAAAAGTGAATCACGAAAATCTAGAAAAGAAAACTTAATGAAAAATTATGGATAGAAGAAAAAAAATAGAAAAGAAAATTGTTCAATAATATTAAATATTCCTAGACATTAACTTAGAAATAGAAGAAGAAAAACATGAAATTTATGCGTAGTTAATAATAGATTNTGGGATGTGTTCCTTAGTAGCATAAACTGTTCGTTGAGAAAATCAATACACCAATCAGTTGGCATGGCACCATATTTCGTGGTCTTTGGTCAGCACATGATTTCACATGGCCAAGATTACAAAATGTTGCGAGAAGTCGAATTACTCAACGAGGGCGAGGGAAAATTGTCAAGAGCTGACGAATTTCAGAAGATTCGCTCAAACATCGAGAAACACCTGACAAAAGCTTACAAGAGAAATCAACGCACTTACGACCTGAGATCCAAGCCTCGTTCGTTTGAGGTAGGTCAAGAAGTAATAAAGAGAAATTTTTCTTTGAGTAGCGCGGCCAATAACGTTAACGCTAAACTAGCTCCAGTTGGAGTGAAGGCTCGCGTAAAGCAGAAATGTGGCCAACTGATTTATCTACTGGAAGACTTGAACGGTAAAGAGCTGGGGAAATTTCACATTAAGGATATTTGGTAGCTAGAGACAAAAGTCTGCACCCTTCCTTGTTGTTGTTTCAGTTTTATCTTTGGTCAAAACCCTAAGATAAAATCTGGCGGGGGGGTGTGAAGGTTGCAGACCAAAAACAAAAGGTTAGAATGTTTGTTTGTTTTTGGGGAACAGTCTTCTAATTTTATCAAGAAAATATTGAACCTCCCCCACTGTACGCATTCCAGCGAGAGCCCACATGCAAGATCAGAAGCTGTTATCTTGAAAAGCTCTCTCTTTCGAAATTGCATGTGCGAGCACCGTTCACATGTGTAGAAAATATACAAAAACAAAAAAAAAACGTGGTTAAAAGTTTGCAAAACCATAAAAGGGAACATAACCCAAATAAAAAAACAATATAAAAGTGTTGTGGCTGCAAGACGAAACAAAAAAACCAACCCCTGGATAAGGTACGCCAAGAGAAAAAAAATGAAAAAGTGACCTTATTACATAATTCCATGTATGTACTGTACATAGGTTATGATCCACGTGTGGCAGGAAATTGCTGACCTGGCCTGACCCTCGGTCTCGGAGGGGGGGTCCGCTCCAGTACCACGATCATCCGTCCCTCTTTTTGGTGCCACCGGACCTTGCCTGCAGGCGAAAAAACGGATGGACTTGGCGATCGGGACCGAGTTGTTTATATACATATATCTCACGCGCAACTATAAAACCATCTATTATATTATATCACCGCGCCTTGTGTAAAGAATTGTTGGTGCTTGCATATGTAGGGTGTGGAAAAATTAGCTCAGCGGTAATTGCCCTTGCGGCTGACCATACACCTATGCGCACTTAAATAGACCCACCTGACCGTATGTCACCTATTCTCTCCTTCTCTCAGGTTATTAAAATTGTTCGATTCCGACATTCTAAAAGCCACTTAAGGGAAGAAAAGTAAATCACAAAATCTAGAAAAGAAAATGTAATGAAAAATTATGGATAGAAGAAAAAAAATAGAAAAGAAAATTGTTCAATAATATTAAATATTCCTAGATATTGACTTAGAAATATAAGAAGAAAAACATGAAATTTATGCGTAGTTAATAATAGATTCTAAAAGGGTGCATCATCGGTCTCATTGTGTTCATGGAAGGGTATTGGTAAAATACCTCTTCATAACGCTTCTTGTTATTTTGCATATTTCTACATTTCTTTAACAGTTAGAACGTGAAATTGGGCCCAACGACACCAACAGCTGTTTAAAAGTCTGTAAGTAGACACACATACACACACCTACACTCCGGGTCAGGAGAATAGCGTCTACACAGTGAGACATGCATGCTTAACCATATATAAAATGAATTATTATTAACTATAATCACTACAATTATGCCATTTAATTCATTTAATTAATTAATTCTTACTTTATATTTTGATTATATTATTTTTATTCATATTTGATCATTCTCTTGAATTCCTATGTATTAAATTAGTCCCACGTATATATATCCATGCAGTAAAAATAGTTTTAAGGGTTAGGGTAGAAATAATGGGGGTTACAAACAACCTGAAGTCATACAAGTCAAAGTAAAATTATAACGATTTAACATGAATTTCTAATCTGATTTTTGGGAGGGGTTCCTAAGGCACATAGGCAGCAGCGGCAGGTTTTGGGTAAAACCATAATGGCATATTCTTATGTTATTCTACATGGAGGGTGGGTCAAGAGGGAAGAGCACATCCACCTTGCTCTTCACAGTAGGTAGTGGACCTTAAGTTCCGTCCGGGTTTGTAATTCCGATCCCAGTTCCCGTAAATCTGTCTACGATTTTGTTAGGTGACGGAGTTCGTTTTCGCAGCACACCACCCACCCCATTTTCCCTGAGCCTAGCCGGCAAACTTTTAGTAGACAGAGAGTGCTGACGAGACGACACTTCCCGTGTCCGTTACATGGCTATAATAATGATCCAATCGGATCCCAATTTGGTGATCTGATAAATATGGCCATTCCCTACAGAATGGCGTTTTTAGTTTTCTTCTATCTTTAAAATTGTAGATTTGGGAGGTTTTCGCCCTTTTGCGGGGGCGGATGGGGGCGGGGCACATTTTTTAAATACACTTGTAACAGTGTGAGCATACAGAAGTCTGGATGCAAAATTTGGTGGCTCTAGCTTTTATAGTCTCTGAGATTCAGACAACAGAACGGACGGACAGACGGACAGACGGACAGACAGACAGGGCTCAATCGACTCGGCTTTTGATGGTGATCAAGAATATATACACTTTATGGGGTCGGAAACGATTCCTTCTGTGTGTTACATACATTAACTTTGTGCACAAATACAATATACCCTATTTACTCTTCGAGTACCGGGTATAAAACAAATATAAGCTGCGGGAGGGGGTGGGGGTGGGTGGTTTAAAGTCGGCAGAGGCAGAGGGACGGCAGAGGCAGAGGCCGAGTGAAGCAGAGTGTGAATGAGAGAATGTGAAAAGAACAACAAAAGCTGCAGGACAGTGTGGGTTTAGCCACTGCTAATTAATTTCTTCTTTCTGGCTATAATAATGATCCAATCGGATCCCAATTTGGTGATCTGATAGATATGGCCATTCCCTACAGAATGGCGTTTTTAGTTTTCTTCTATCTTTAAAATTGTAGATTTGGGAGGTTTTCGCCCTTTTGCGGGGGCGGAATGGGGCGGGGCACATTTTTTAAATACACTTGTAACAGTGTGAGCATACAGAAGTCTGGATGCAAAATTTGGTGGCTCTAGCTTTTATAGTCTCTGAGATTCAGGTGCTCAACAAGACGGACGGACAGACGGACGGACAGACGGACAGACAGACAGGGCTCAATCGACTCGGCTATTGATGGTGATCAAGAATATATACACTTTATGGGGTCGGAAACGATTCCTTCTGTGTGTTACATACATTAACTTTGTGCACAAATACAATATACCCTATTTACTCTTCGAGTACCGGGTATAAAACAAATATAAGCTGCGTGAGGGGGGG